CTGCCTTGATTTAATACTTACCACTTTTATTCATTTGAAAAACAAGGAGTATTTTTATTTTCCAAGTCTCTATTTACCTTAAAATATCATGAACATTAATATCACAAAAGAAAACAGGAAAACACAAAACTCTTTTTTTCCCCCAAACTGTTACAAATTCAGTCCAGAGGGGGAGGAGCTTGCTTTACTGAAATCACTATTCATAGGACGTGGGGGGAGTTGAAGGGAGAGGGAGGAGTTAATGCTTCCCTAGAGATTGACTTCTCCTTGCATTTTATCAATTCCTTCTCTCAACTGGTACTTTCACATGTTGCTTATACTAAAAGCATTCATAAGGGTCAGATTATGAAAAGTTTAACTTAATTTCTTCAACATTGCTTTTAACCTCCCACCCCCAGTTCCCAACGACAAATGCAGTAGTTCTTAAATCACTATCATTTTTGGCTAGAATGAATAATACATCAACTATTTAGTTTTCCCAATTAATAGGATGTCTTCTGATCTTCTAAAGAATTTTTTCACCCACACAATTCTTTTTTAGAAAAAAAGAAGGTTCAAATTTCCTGTACTCGAAAATCCTCATTAAAAATGAATTTCCAACATGAGAAGTCAGAGCAAGGGCAAATGTTCCACTATGACATTTGCTGTAATTGTGTTGATCATATGCCTCTTTCAAATACTAATGAAGCACCCCTTAAAGAAAAAAAATAACAGATGTTGGGTGAAAAATTATATATGTTTTTTACATGACTCAATTGAAAAACACCTTGGGAAAAGTACTGAAATTTGTTTTTATTATTGGTTTCCTTCTTGGGGTTGTTTCTTAGAAGAACTGGTTAACCAACTCATTTTGAAATTCCCAACGCAGTAATTTCCTGCAAAGAAGTTATCTGTTTCTGAGGGTGGCACACATTTTTGGGGAATTCATCTGTCTGATCACAATAAAGTGGTGGTGGAGAGAAATTGCAGGGAGAGAGAAGCTTGTTTAATCAGATACTCCACAACTTCAAGTATATTTTATCCACTAAATCTTTGAAAAACATCTAAAACGTATTTTCTTTTTATATTCTTTTATGCACAAATACAACACACGTTTTCACCTACTACTCACAGAAAGATTCAGGGTATTTATAACCTAGGAGACTACTTAGAATACTATCTCATGAATTAGAAAACAATATCTACTCTTAAATTACAATGTTTATTGTCATTCCAATTTGTTTTATAATAACAAAGTACAAAAAGTGAACATTTAAAAAATGTCTGCATTGGTTTCATCCAATACATGAAAAGATCAAAAATACATTTGCATGGAGAAATAATTTAATATGTATCATGTATGGCTGTACAGATCATTATTGAAAAACAAGAGTTAACTAACCTGTTGTCAAGTGGGAAGTGTTGTTTCTCTAGAAAATCAAGCATGTCACCCAGAAAGTTACCACTCTCAAAAATCTTAGTAATCCATCTCAATATGGAATGGGGTGAGGTTAAAAACTACTGATTTATTTGACAGAAATGTATACAACGCCATGATCACCATATTAGACACCTGCTCAAATTTGACTCTGTGGCAGGAGTTAATCACATTTGAAAACTTGAAATGTAAGAACATATTAGGAACTCAGTTACAAATAGAGTTAATTATAGTACATGATGTTGCTTGTGAGTTAGAGAATAATTGAAAATAGACTGCTTTGAGGATGAAACAAGTAAGGATATTTCACTTACACCTTAAATAAAATTTAATGTTAAAAGGTCAATATAATATTTCTGACATTTAAAAGGTAGTAAATGATGCAGTAAAATCAGTGGTTATGGTGGCAGATGCAGCAGGCTTTCTCATTTCAGGCCTTGGACCACAGATTTCTCAGATTAAGGAGTAATCTTTGCAGAAGTGGATCAAAATTCACATTTTGCGCATGTAGTCAGATTCTGAAAGATTCTGATAAACACCCACCCATATCCACACCTACCTTGCTTCTACTTTAGTTGAGAAACAGGTTTAACCTTGGTTACCTTTCAAGTGTTTGGGGATATTTAAAAAAGTTGAAAACAACTTTATTAAACCCTGACCAAAGTCAAATGAGAAAGCAGTAGAAATATAAGATTTCAATACTTTCTAAACTATTTTTCAGGCATGTACTTTCTTTTTTTTTCTTTATTTTTCTTTAAATCACAGTTAAAATATTTGTGTGTGGCTAGATTTTTCTACTATTCTATAATTTAATCAGTCTAGGACAGTTAGATTGTCTTAAGAATTTTGTATTTTTACTTTTTTTAAATAAAAAATTTGCAGAAAAGCTAATGTCAATGTAAATCTATTAAACTTTCAAACATCTGAAAAATACAAAGATCATAAATAATTTGGAGGGTAAGAAAAATATCAAATATAAATAAATATAGCAAAGTTTTTTTTAAAAAAATAGTACATATGTGGGCGTGTCTGTGCTACCAAATTCCATGCATCAATATTAATTTAAATTATTTGTTTTACAAAATGAAATAACTCTGTCCTGATTTTGTGGTTCAAAATCCAGATTGAATGTCTTTCTTCCCCATGGAGTCAATTTTGACCCTTTTTCTTATCTGAATTTACTTACGGCCTTTTATTTTTCCTGTAACACAGCAAAATGTTTCAGGATTAGCCATTTACGCAGGTGAAATGGATACACTTCTAAATTTGCTTATCCTGTTTAGTTTTGACAAAAATAAACTTATTCTCCTACTCTTGGTAACAAGAACTAGGGTGAAAAAAATCAATTTTAAGACATTTAAAATACATATTAATGAAAATGGTGAAACTATCTAAAATATTTAAACTTAGTTTATGTGATATTTCAATAATTCATTAGTCCAATGCTTTAAATAATCCCAAAGTGACACGAATTCCTCTGCAGAATGAATGTCTATAGAGAGTAATCCATGGAAGACAGACAAGCCTCTTGTCATTTGTAGCCTTAATCCATTGCCTAGAGCATGAAAAGTGCTCAGGATAACAAGTGTGGGAGTCAGTAAAATCAACATTATTTTTGGATTTTATTTTCTTAACAATACTGGCTGATCAATAGGCTTGAAGTAACTGACAAATACAATAAGATCTGTTTGACGAATCAATTTAGTGAAGTAGATAGACTCCCTCCTCCCCTTCCCCCATTCTCTCTCTCTGTAAATCCTCTTCATCCTCCTCCACCTACACTCACACAAACAGAGAGAGAGAGAGGGAGAGAGAGAGAGGGACTGCTCTTTCTCTATTGGTCTGTAGACATTAAGTAATGAAGGCTGTAGTGACAGTGCTTAGATCATTTTTTGTAAGAACACCAAACCACTTTCTGTGTTTATGTTTTTAATTGTGAGACTTACCCTCTCCTTTCAGCCCAGAAGTTTCCATATTATTGAAGTTGAGCTCTTTCTTCTGTGTTTTAAGTGCTGTATGCCTGTGGGGGTGGGGAGCAGTGTTAGGAGGGGGAGGGCAGAAAGAGTTGAGGAGGAAAGAAAGTTCTGTCCTGTCAACTTTTATACAACTCTCTCAAAAAACTCTTATAAGAATATCAGCTTGGGGGAAAACTGAAAGAAGAATAGGAGAGAACATTTTAGAGCGGACAGACAACATGACTCTTTCTGAGAGAACGAATGGTGTCTGTGTGACTGCCTGAATTCGTGCATATGCGTCCCACAGAAAATTTAGTAACCCTTCACCAGCTCAGGAAGACACAGAGATGTTCTTTTCATGTTGGTCCTTGACACTCAGCAGGGACTTTTGTGAACTTTGTCATCTTCTTCTGCCCTTCAAACCAAAACTAGGGAAGTGGCTTTAATTAATGAGATGTGATGCATTAAAAATGTTAGCCAGAGCATTCCAGAAGCTGGAAAACCATAGATGTTTTTAAATTCTGAGTATCCTTTTGAGAATCCCCTGTTGTAATTTATAATTCTCAGAGGACCTATATTTGTCTTGAACTGATTGTTGAAATGGGCTTTACTAGGAATTTCTCCGCTGAAATTGCAGTAGGGCGGGGGGAAGGGGTGGCTGAGCCTAGAGGGTTTGTTGGAAGGAGGGAATGATCTCTAACAAGGCTTTAAAACCTTCAGAGGTTAAAGTTATATTGATGAGGAGAGATACACACACACACACACACACACACACACTTACACACATATAATACACAAGTTCAGCAAGATTGCATAATGAGCGTGAATTGTAAATTTTGTAGGTAGCGGAATTCAGATTTTTTAAATCAAAATTGCACCAAAAATGGCTATAAAACAACGCTTGCCTTGGGAAGTAAATTTATAGCTACATGCCTTTCACAGGCACGCTGGAGGGTTCTGCTCCCGGCTCTAATCTCTACGAGATGGTTTTTGCATGTGTTGTGTGACAGGAGGGAAGGGGAGTGGGTTGAGCTCGCCTGTTCTCCCATTGTCAGCCGGTCTAGTGAGTGTTGGGAAAACCTGTCTGCGGGATCTTGTGTCATCTCTCCCTACATGTGTACAGGAAAAGTCCGCGCTGCTCGCGGTTCCTCTCTCTCCTCTCTCTCTCCTCTCTCCCTCCCTCCCTCCCTCCCTCTCTCTCTCTCATTCTCTGTTTCCCTTTCATTCTGCTTCCCCGGAGCCGAATGAAGCAGGGAGCGGGATTAGAGTCTGCCACCGGCTATCAGAGGAGCTTAGATAAAAGGAACTGCTTCTTAAGCACCACTGCAGCAGCCCTTGTTAATTTTTTCTTTTTTTTCTTTCCACACAACAGTTGTACCTCATTATCCGGTGCCTGGCTCGGATTTTTTTTTTTTTTTCTTTTTGGAGGGTTTGAAGTTTCTGTGCTTCAGGGACTGTTACAGAAGAAGAGGTGTTAGTGTTGCCATGAGGTCTTGATTGTCTGCATTTATGAATGAAACTGACCTAAATCACCTGTTACCTCCAGTTTCCAGATTGTTTGAACTTCTCTGGCGGCACAATACAGGAAGGAAGACTAAAGCAGCACAGGGACCTACGGCGTCTGCAGCATGGGCTGGTTGGCTAGGATTGTCTGTCTTTTCTGGGGAGTGTTACTTACAGCAAGAGCAAACTATCAAAATGGAAAGAACAATGTGCCAAGGCTGAAATTATCCTACAAAGGTAAATCTTTATTTTTCTTTTATTTGGCTAGCTTTGTAATCCACCCCCCCCCTTTCATTCCTTGAACTCCTTCCCAACCCAAGCCATCAAACCTTTAGTTTAACCTGGAAAACCTGTGTGATTATTTGTATTTTGCTGAGATGATTTAAACCCCCCTTTAAAAAAAAAGAATGTCTTCTGTTTGATATATGACAATTTAAATGCAAACAAAGAACATTTAATCACATTTGCAGAGAAGAGCTGCATGCCTGGTACATGCCGATCCTTATATCTTATGATCCTATCTATGTTTTGTTGATTTTTCTGACTTTACTTCTTTGAAAATATTTTTGAAAAAATACTAATGCAAAATTGTCTCTTTGTAGATGTGCATGCCTCACCTATAATAATTGTTAAGATGAATTGCATTTTCTTAGTTTGAGGCACTAAATGGTTAATAGTCATCATGAATATTCAGTTTGTTCAAATCTGACAATCAGATGCTTAACATAAGCAGTAGATCATGGTTTGCCAAGAGAATATAAACTGGATAGAACAGACTAGTTTTCCAGTGTGTTATGACTGTACAAAAGACTGTGTATTTGACTAATTGGTGTAAAGCTAAAGTCTTTGAAATATAATGTTATTTAATTCCATATGTACTTCAGTGAGAATTGAATAGACATTGCTCTCTAGTTACATAGATAGTTGAGTGAACTTCTTTTTTAAAAAGTATACATGAAAGAGAAGAGTAAAAGCAGCTTTATCAAATGGTACTAGATTTGGTTACAGTTTAATGTGTGTGCTTGTTTTTTAATAAGAATTTTTAAGACAATATTTGTTCTACATGTGTTTAGATACATTTTATAGATACATGTATAAAGTAATACTAAAATAGATTCCAAAATGATATATATAATTGTAGTGGCAGAAAATACTTATATGACTCAGGTATTATTTAAATGGAGTTGAAGATTAAACTGTTCTAACTCAAGTAGTTTAACTCCCTAAGGTGTTGATTTCTTATGATTCTCAGATTTCTAGAATTGGGGGTGGGGCAGTGAGAAGCTCTGTGCTTATATTTTAGCTTATAAGGAAAAAGAAAATTATTGAATCTATTTGTAGAGATATATGTCTACTGTACACTGTTATTATGCCAGAAAACATATTCTTTAATTTTCACATGATGGAGAACATCTCTTTCTGAGTGCTCTGGTGTGAATGAGGATCTCAAATAAGAAAGAAAGATGTAATTTTCACACTTTGGATTAGAAAATTAAACATCTATAAAATGTGTTTATTTGGATTTAATACTCATCAGATAAAATACATTGAATTGGAAAGTATATTTATTTTTTAGTATAATATTTTCTTACTTATCAAATTGGGAATAGATTTTAAGCATAAACAAGTAAAATTGCAATTGTACTTATTTTTCAAGTTTTAAAAAATCATATAGCATCAATTAAATATTTAATTAAATCTCTATTATGTTTCTATTTAGTAACTGTCTTTAACTTATTTCCATAGTATATGATATTATGACATCTGTGTTTTCATCAGTTTTGCTTTTTATTTTCACTCCTTGGGAAGGTGTCATCAAACAATTCTTAGGTTGATGGTCCTCTGTATCCAAGTTTTGTTCCTTATGAGTAAGTTTTACTTACAACTTCAGTTCTGAAAGATGTGAGTGGTGATTTGCTATAATTTTAGCTTAACAAATTTAAAATCATGATATAAATTTTTTAAATCTAGATTTTAATACATTTGAGTATATTTGTCTAAGTGCTAAATAAATTATAAAATAAAATAAAAATAAAGAATTATGTTTCTTTATTTTGCAAGAATTTCATTCCATGGTAATAAACTCTCTATTATAGAGGAGGCACTTGTCCTTTCTATACATTAAAAATATAGCATTTAATTGGAATATCTCTTTGTTGGGCACACCTGCTTTAAACTTTATAATGAAACAAGCTTATATATTGACAATATGTGTGTATTTGACATTGTCTTTACATATCTTTCATAGCAGTGGCATCCATTAAAATTATTTTGCTTTCATTTAAATCAAAAATTGACCTATAGCTACATAATAATTCTATTGATTAACTAGAGCTTGGCAATTTGGTAAAATATCCTGTGAAATAAACAACAGCAAGAGGCATAAAAAGAATGACCCAGGCAATTATTTTCTGTCATTTTATTGGTCTGTCATTACCTTTTTGTCTCTATATGTATACTTGTTTTGCCAAAGAAAGCACCTGGTAGCCAATTGTCAGTACTTTGTTTCTAAAGTATAATAGAAGTTTTCTTCTTTTTAGCTACTTCTTGTTCCTCCTTAATTAGATGTCAAACACAGTTAAAACATCCACTGCATTACCCTTAAAAATATTCTAGCATGATTCATGAAGAGTTAAATCCCTGCCAACCTTAATTTCCCATGGTCACTTGTTTTCAAAGATCCACCATTAACTCTCTCATTGCTAAGGTTGCCAAGATGAAGTTTCAGGCAATCACTGTGCTTAGTTTCTATTTGTCATCTTGCCTAGTAGGAGATGAAAGAGATTTGATAAGTTAAATGAGAAAGAAAAATAAGTAAAAACAAAAAGGTAGCCTTTGTAGTGAATATACATGCATATCAAATAAGACACCTCTTTACTTTCTAGGAAAAAGGAATTGAATAGATGTGTTCAGGACCATCTGGAGAAGTGATAATATTAGAAAAATGGGGTATGCTGGCTTTTCCTCTAAACCAGTCTGATTTAGAATCCTTATGGGGGAAGAAAATGTGAGAACTCTGTAAATCTCAGCAGTCACATAGAAATTATCCTTAAGAAACATTCACTCAGAGATACTTTTGTCCTCTTTAAATATATGTAATAGAGTTAAATGTTAAAATACTTTTTTTCAAAATGATGTATAACTGTTTATTTCTTCTACAAAACCAGTCAAATTTCACTTTTCTCATGGATTACTAGAAAACGTTATATTCCATTTGGGATATGTGGTACAATGAAGTCTTCAGAAAACTACGTGAATCACAAGAAAATAAACTGGGCTTTGGGTTTTAAATAAATGACAAATGTTCCATCATTCAATATAATGGGCTTTTCCAGGACCTTGTGTGCTTCAGTTTTACTAGAAATCAAAGGCACATACAAGTCTCAATGTGACGATGATCCTGCGAACCTAAAGGTCAAATCAATGATTTTAACCTTACCTTGATAGAGAGGA